GCACAGAACCCCCTGCTGCTGCTCACACTGAGATGTCCGCAGCCAGAAGCTACAGAACAGGAGCTGTTCACCTGCTGCACACATCTTCAAGGGCAGTTAGTTAAGTTCACAGACATGAAAACAGTTCTCAGTTTCTTCCACTGTAAAGGCGGCCGGAGAAGGACAGAGCACACAAGGAACACAAGTGGGGGCAAACACAGTGGGACTCCAGCTGCTGTCACCCCTAGCCCGGAGAACTCCACACCATCTGGCAGAGAGAAAGGAAGAGGGAGAGCAAGAGGGTACGCGGCCTGGAAAGAGGCCCAGAGTGAGCCTGCCTCGTCTCAAGGTAAAAGGGCCCAGCGGAGACAAGGAAGCATCTGGTGGCATGTCAGTCAACCCCTGGGACCCCGCGAGGAGTTAAGTGACCACAGAACTGAGTCAGTCCAGGAGGCAGGATCCACACTGTCCAAGAGTATTCCTTTTAAAGCCCAGCTCCACTGACCCCCCGAGGCCCCTAGTTGAGGAAACCTCCCTTTCGGGCCCTGCCTCACTCTGGGGCACAGAGAATTCTAGCAGTTAGAGTGCTATGTGGGGAGAAGAGGGGGCTAGGGCAAGTGGAGAGGAAGTCGAGGCAGGGAGGCATCCAGACAGCAGTGCCAGGGCACCCCTGCCCAGGCCAAAGAGGGCCCTTGAAGCCCGAGAGAGAAGAACACAGAGGGAGGGAGCGTGGGAAGCCAGGGTAGGAACCCAAGGGCATGGCCCCACTGCGGACAGAAAGCCGGCCTCTGGGGCTAAGGAGTGAGGAGCTAATGCGGGGAGCACACAGGAAGAGAAGCTCCGGGGTCTGGGGGTCAGGCTGGAAATGTCACGGAGGCCAAAAAAGAATGACCTCCTCCCCAAGCCTATGCCTCTCGGCTCTCTCAGGGCTCGCTCCTCTTCACTGGTCATCCCTCCCCAACACACTGGAACAAGGTGGCCTGGTCTCAGAAACAGACAGGAAAACAGTAGGAGCCTATCCGTATGTGGTGGAAGCCTGTGGAGAAATAAATTGATGGGAGGAGCAAGAGGCCTCCGTGACGATGCTGGCTGTAAGAGGTGACGGGCCTGTGCCTCAGTCTGTGTTTAACCCATCCTCCGCTGGCTGCCAGACTCGTCTCCATTTTCCGTTTGTCTGTCACCCAGCACAGCACCCACCACGCGCCCTCTCTACCATGCCCTGTCATCTAAGGTGCACCCCGATGCCAGGGCCTCTCTGCCCGATGAGGGGAACAACCCGATGGCCTCCCATCGCGTGGCTGTCAAGGCCCCTTGCAGTCGAGCCCAGCCCACCCCTCCTGCCCAGCCAGTGGCCTGCCTTTCACTGCACTCCCTACACTGGCCTCCTTACTCACCGCAGATGGCTCAGGCCCCACACTCGCCTTTCCTCTGCCTGTGTCTTTCCAAGCCCACAGCCTCTGCAGACCCTCAGACAGCAAGTGCAACCCAGGAGTTCAAAGTTGGGACAGATCTAGGCTAGCATCCCGGCCCTGCCCCTCACTGGCAGTGTCTCCACCCTCTGGGCCTCACAGCCCCATCTGAGCCCTGACCAGCAGTATGCCCAGCTGTGAGCCAGCTCAGCGCGGGCACTGGGTCCATGCCTGGGAAGGCGGGTTCTCCTCCCCTGTGCTCCTGCAGCACCTACACGCCTCACCATAGTACTTAACACTTGGCCGCTTGGTTGTTTTTATTGCTTTATGTGACTTGTTTTCCCAGCGGGACCATCAAGATCTTTAAGACACCTGCATTATTTGCTTTTCTGATTTTGGATCCATTCGTTGTAGGAAATGCAGAAAATCTCTTATGTTCCAAATAAGAGAATAAAGCCATCCACAGCCCTCCTCAGATAACCACTGAAAACGTTCTGGCTTATTCCTTTGCATCTCTTGTGCAGAGATGTTGTCTTTTTTGAAAGTTAAGATCATGTTGCATATGGATTTTTGTGTCTTGATTCCTTCACTCATGCCCACATCAGACATTCTTCAAAAACAGTTTTTTGACACCCACCTAACACTCCAGCATGTGGAGCACCATCACTGACTCCACTGCCACCTCTGTGAAGGGAGGTCAGGCTTGGTCCCCAGATATGGAGACTTGCACCGGCACGCTTGAAGCTTCAAACTCGCCAATCACCAATTACCTTCCTTCTGTGCTGATTAAATGGATTTCCTCCCTTGTCCTAAGAAAGCCCATTTCCTGTGGACAAGACTTACGGTGAAAAACGGAACTGGCTGTGATGAGCGAGCCAGTGTGGTGGGCTGGCCGGCAGAGGCAGGAGCTAGATTCCTGGGCCCTGTCTCCCAGGGTCTGGTGTCAGCCCGATCAGCCTAGGGAGCACGTGGCAGCCCCCACTGCCCCGGCCCTGGTCCTGACCCTGACCCCTCCAAATCAAAGGCCCTTTCTGCCAGCAGCCAAGAGAGTATGAATAAAGTTCAAGGTGCAGTGCTTATCCAGCTCAGTCATCACATCATAGGAGGAACAACCCAGAACAGGAGGATGTTGGACCTAGACAAGATAAAATGCCAGAGGCCATGACAGAAAGTCTTCAGTTTTCTAAAGGGTTTAAGCGTGTTCTCTGTGGCCCAAAAGACAGAGTCCACAAGGACTCAGACTTTGACTAAGCCTGAGCAATGCAAAGAACAAATGGCTACTACTTTGGAAGGTGGTGGAATTCCCTGTCGCTGCAAAGTATCATGGCCAAGATTGTCTGGAAGGGAAGGCACAGGTGATTAGACCACATGATGACAAAGTCCCTCCCACCCCAACAGGGAGGAGCTGGACCCTGTCACAGGGAAATTCTACAGCAGTGCCTGGTCTGTGAAACACTCTTAGTGTCCAGATGTTCCTCCTACCTCGAGAGCTTAGCTCTCTGGAAGCTACTCATGCATCTTGTAGAAGTTTCCAGGGCATTTCACAACGAAGAAAAACATTTGCAACCTACTGAAAACCAAACTACACGGAGATATACCATAGCTAACATGATGGAAATTATACCATATGCAACGAAAAGAATGTTTCTCAATAAAAATGCCCTTTCTTGTGTGTTTTTTTTCCTTTTTTTCCAGTTGCTAAAACAATTAGCCTTACAGTCCATCTGGCAATTTACATGTAATTACCCAGGATGCTCTGCATGGCTCCTCAGGCCACTCTAGCTACCGGAAGTAATGTGCTCAAGTGAGGTGCGATCAGCATTCCTTCCTGTACAGACTCCACCTGCCAGTGCCCCGCTGGAACTGAGACAGCAGCGACGAGGAATAGCTCGTACCCAGGGCAACAGGAGAAGCCTGGAGGGCCCTGGAAATACTGAGCTGCTGGCCTCCCTCCATGAGTGTCCTTTCCCCAAAGACAGACCCGTGGTCCAGCAGAGTCCCTGCACCCTCCGGGATGGACATTTGGCTCAGGGCCAGATTTACCAAGATGCCCGCCTAGCTACTTTCTTTCTGGGTGTGAGCACAGGAAGGGGCAGGGAAGCAGTTTTAAAGGAGTTTTGATGTTCAACAGTTGGGAACCTTACCATTTCTAAAAGTAGAAGAAGGAGGGGTGAGAAGTTAAGAGCTCAGCCTCTAAAGTACTGAAGCACAGGGAAGGGACAGCCCGCCTCCCTTGCCTGCCTGCCTGCCAGCCAGTCTGGTGAAGGGGTATGCTCGGAGAGTGAAGGCCCCCCAACACTCAGCACCAGGGGCCAAGTGCCCCAGCTCGCTGGTTGAACCACCACCTCTACCCTGGGTTTGTCGGCCTTCCCCCAGGAACATGGTAAGTCAGGGGTTAGGTTATAAGAACCATAAATATACTCAGTTAATGTAAGAAAAAATATTGCTATTTAAAAACCCAAGACTTTTAAAAGTTGAAAAGTAACGGCCCTAAGCTGGCTTTGGAAGGGTGGCCCAGGTGAGGCGGGCCTGTCCTAGTCAGGGTCCCTCCTGGCAGCTCCAGGCTAGCACCCTGGGCAGGCTGCTATTCGGTAGGCACAAAATGCAGCCTCGTTAGTGGGAACTCCAGAGGGACCCACACTGGAGATGGGAGCTCTGGGCCGACTGACCCCCGCCCCTTCACCTCACCACCTCCTGGAGGGGTTCCAGGAGAGGAATGCTCATGGGTGCCCGAGCCACTTTCTGGACTGAAAGAAGATGCACTGGATCCTAAGCCCAAGGCCCCAGCCAGGCCCCACTCCACAGGGAGCCTGAGGAAAGTCACCCGGATTTTTCTTTTTCTTTAACACCTCATGCTTTATAGGAAGACAACACAAAATTATACCTCAGAAAAGCAAGCAAGCCTTCCAACCACCAATTCAGCCTCTCCTCTGGGTCATCTCTGAGGTCACGAGTCCATGAGGCTACACAGCCACATTCCCCACCCTAGCCACTCAGCCTCTCTGGGTCATCTCTGAGGTCACGAGTCCATGAGGCTACACAGCCACATTCCCCACCCTAGCCACTCAGCCTGGGCTGGGCTGGGCAGGGAAGAGGCCTTCCTGCTGGACCAGGCTCCCTGCTTCAGCAACTACCTGCTTGATGGCACCATTCTGGGGAATAAAGGAAACTTCTGGCATCCAACAGAGATGGGATGGAAAGTCATCACAGGGGACCGGGCTGTCCTGTCCGCCAAAACTCCCGGCGTCTGATCCAGAACAAGACCCGCCTTGAGGCCTCACTGCACGACATACGGTCTGAGGTCTGAGAGGGAGACCAGCAAGGGGCAAAGGTCTACAGTCAGGGACCCTGCCTCTTGGGATGCAGACTTGCAAAGAGCTCTCCCCACAGAACCGTTTCTGGGAGCAGAGTTGAGGGAGACTGAGTTTAGAAAGAAGGCACATGACAGTCGGCTGACTTCCTGGATGTCTGAGTCACTTCATTCAGCTCTTCGCTGGGATACGGGGCTACGCACTGTTTAGCACTCCAGCAGGGCCCACGGGAGACCAGAGAGGCGCGTCTCCGTCTCCGCCGAGCTGCACCCCGCCCCCGAGGAGGCCTGCGGGCACTTACCAGGAAGCGGACATCGTCAAAGCCATTCAGAAGCAACTTGCTCTCATACTGCTGCAGCCCAACCGCCTCCAGCCACTCCCCGACGCTCTGCTCCAGCGTCCGCGAACCTGACGAGAGAGGAATCGGCAGACGCTTGAAAAGGGAAAACCCATTAAGGCGGTAGCAGCGGCACTCAGAGGAAGACAGATGGCACTGCCACATCATGGTCATTACCATAAAGCAGCCAGACTATGTACAAGAGACCAGAGAGCAGAGGACCCGCAGCTCCTCTTCCGGGTGCAGGCCGAGGGCAGGTGGGCCCGGGCCGCACACCCACCCACCCCCTCAAGTCTGAGCTCCTCCAGGGCTGCGGTGGCACATGCACGGTCTCCGCCCACAGGTCAGCGTTCACACTGAGGTATTTCAGGAAGTCTGTTCCCACGGGCACTAGAGGGGCTGGGGGCTCCTCTCATCCATGCAACTTCTGGAGCCCCCGCGGGGCCGTGGGCGAGGGACAAGTCCTGTGACCTTGCAGCACAAACCGGTCAGGAGAGAGCACGCGTCTTCATGCAGCTGAGGGGCACAGGCACACAGCGAGGGCTCCGGGAGGGAAGCAGCGGCGGCTGTTCACGGGGACCCAGCACATGCAACACAAGCAGCACAGAACCCGGCAGGGGGAGAAAAGAGACTTTTACTTGTTTTCCCCCAGCAGTCCCGGAATAAGCAAACCATGGCCACTGGCCCTTTGTGCTCAGAGGCTCAAGGCAGAGGGGGCCGAGTGCCGCGCACGGGCCGGGGCCCGGGGCCCGGGGCTGGGGCTCAGGTGTGGCCCTGCTGTGACGGCGACATCGCGCTCCCCGGGGCTGCACGGCCAGCGGGGCCAGGGGCCCAGTCCACAGCTAGACTCTGGCGGCCGGCGAGCGGGGCGTCTCCCGCGCCAGGGTGCTGTCTGAAGTGCTGCCTTCCCGGGCCGGGCTCTTTTGCTGGGGCTGGGCATTCATCTTCCTCTTCTGATAGTGGCTGTTCCTGGGACTCGCCTGCCTGCTCAGGTGGAAAGCAGGCAGGCAGATCCAGTTCTTGGCTAAAGACGACAAAACCCGACCCGATGAAAGAAAGGGAAAAGGGAAGCGGTCCTCTGTCAGCTGAGCTGTGACAGCTTAAGTCTATTCACATTCGGCGCTGTGCTCTCTCTGGCTGAGTGATACAGACAGCAACGGTCTTCCCAGGGTCTCCGGATCCTTATGTTCTTCCTCTGAGGGCCGGCAGGGAAGGGACGACATGTATCTGCTCTGCTCCTCGGCCGGACAGGGGGGCGGGGTGGGGAGGAACAGAGTTCAGCCCTCCCTGCCGACCTGAGCGCCTAGCCCCCACCTACTTCTCTGGTTCTCATGGGCAAGAACAGATGATAAAAGAAGGAAAAAAGGGAAAGGGAGGAAAAAGAAGAACCAACTACAAAGACATCACCTCCAGAGAACTCTTGACACGGTGAAAGTCATTCTCTTGTTCTCGGCACTTTCTGCCCTTCAAGGCAGGCCAAGGCCAACTGGCTTGGTTATCAGGGAGCCCCCGGTGACCCACTGTCCCAGGCTCCCCCTCCTCTGTCCTCTGCAGAGCAGCTGGTGGTCAGGGACCCGGTGGCCTCCCGATGCACGCTGCAGCAGCACTCCAAGACGCTGGGTCCCCTGCCCTTGACTGGGGCCGTCTGCTCCCGGGAACCTAGGCGGCGGGCTCTTGTATGCTCACGAAGTCAAGTGTCCCTGGCTGCTGATTCATTCCTGCTTGTAATCCCCCAGCCGGGCAGCTGTGGTCCTGCCTGCTGCCGGTGGATGTGTGCGCTCACAGAACCGCAGCAGAGTGCTTTGTCTGGAGGCTCCTGGGCTCCACGCTGCCTGCTGCCGGCCCCACAGCCCTCGCTCGCTCTCATAATGTCTGGCCCTCCCCTTCTCCCCTCCCCACCCTCCTCCCTTCCACGTTCAGGAAAATACATCAGGGAGCGGACATCGGAGCAGAAGCCGCTGCTGCCGCCGCTGAGGGAGAAGGACACAGCAGCACAAGCATCACAGCAAAATGACAGGCTCCCCAGCATCTCCTGTCGGCCAACACACATGCGTCTGAAAGGCGGAGACGGGGAAACCCTACCTGCAGCTCGAGGGGCTGGAAACAGCTTATTAAGGAGAGAGAAGGCACATTCCTATAGTTTTGGCCAACAGTGTCTCGGACAGCCAGAGAAGGGGACAGAGGAATGACACCGCCCTGAGGGCAGAGCCCACAGGTTAAGCGACCCCTTGCTCACCATGTAAGAAAGACCGTGCCTCTCTGCCAAGAGAATAAGCCATGGGGTGTCACAAAAACAGGTGACCAAATAAAGACATTATACCTAATATTCCTCAGGTGAGCAAGCGCACTCAGCAACTCGGGGAGGGACTTCTCCTGGGGCGGCCGGAGCCCCGGAGAGAAGCGCCAGACCCAGAGCAGGCCCCTCGCTATCTAGAGGAGGAGGGGAGGGGAGGGGAGGCACCAAGGAAAAGGGGGAGCCGGGACCAAACCCCAAGTACGGCCGTGAAGACAGAAGAGGTCACATGTAGAGACAAAGACCCAGGGACCACATGTCACCCTCTAAACATGCTGGGGGACACCGACAGCTCAGCAGGCTGTAGACGGTCCTGGCAAAGAAAGGGCTGTGTGTGCAGGGAGATCAGGCCCCAGAAGGAGCCTGCACTGAATGGCGATTCAACAGCTAAAGCGGCTGGCTTTAGCAGAAGAAAGCAAATGATCTCTTGCGCTCCACAGACAGGCTTTTGTGGAAAGCAGCCAGAGTGGCCGGGGCCAGTGGGAAGGCTTCCCCTCCCTGGACTCCTCAGAGTGGAATGAGTTGTGAAACCTGTCTGTTGGGGATTCGGGTAACTAGCTCCAGTGCTGGCAGCTCAGGGTCCCAAGGCCCAAGACGAGAGTAAGACTCCAGTTCCATACTGGGTCTTGTCCTATAGAACACGATCCTCTGTGAAACCAGTCACGCTGAGCAATCCTGTGCTTAGTTAACAGCTGCCTGCTGGAAGGCCTGCTCCTCCTCCCAGGCTGGCAACCCCAGAGCCCAAGTCTCTCCTAGATCCAGAAACCTAAGGACAATCTGAACCCTGCACCTGACCATTCAAAACAAGCAAGAATTCTGCTCTGGCCTGAGCTGAAGGCTGGTGCTCCCTGAGGTCCTGGGGAAAGCCCCGTCCTGACCTGTCAGATAGAAGACAGAGCTCATGGGCAGACCTGAGTCTACTTTCCCCATGCTTCATGGCCTGGCAGCAGTGCAGACACAGTAGTCCGGGGACTCTGCAGCATGAGTGGGGGCACCCTCTGTTCAGGTGGCTGTTCTCGTGTGCCCACCCTAGACGGTCCTACGCCGCTGTATAGAAGATGGTTCAACTCAGCGGTGCTAAAACAGGACTGTGTGTCGGGACCCGGTGACCTAGGGGGGAAGCCAGGCCAACTTTCATCACTCACACAGACAGGTTCGTGGGGGTAAGAACTAGTGGGTGGGACCACCAGGGCCAGGAAAGAGCTCAGTGTCATCACTTCCAAAGAGAAGGGCTCTTGCAGAAATGTGTTTTCCAAAGGTGCTGCCACATTTCCTGATTTATCAAAGTTAAGATACTGACCCAAACTCTCAAGCACGTGCATTCCTCGGACATAGAGGGGTACAGGCAAGCAGAAAGCTGCTGCAACCGAACGGACTGCTATCGATCCCAGTCCTGGCTGTCCCCCAAGCACGGTTTTGGAAAACGGTAATGGTGTTTGTCTCAGTACTGAACATCTACTCCCAACAAACGCTTGACTCTTGATGAAGGCTGCACACAACAACAGAGAGGGAGGCTGTCTGTCTGTTCTCCAGCATGTGGAGACAGAGCCACAAACGCTGAGTCAGAAGAGCCATCCCTGCAGACCCCAGCGTAATCCAAGACTGATGACGACGAAGGGCCACACCCAGCTGGGCCCTCTCTTGCTAGAAGCCAGGGAAACAAGGCTGCTGGAAGGAGGTGGCTCTGGGAACCCAATTGGAGACGTGGTGGAGGGAGACAAGCAGATGCACCTCCTCCCTAGGTTTTTTGATGCGGGTAAGTAATTATTTCATGGACAAAAAAAGAGCCTATCTACCATTTACCTCTTTTGCACAAGTATTTGTATATATTAGTCATTCCCAACAAACCTATGAGGTAGGTACTATTATCCAAAGGTAGATAGGGAACTGGGGCTCAGAGAGATTAAGGGACTTGCCAAAGACCCTTATACATCCAGAAGCCGAATTTGAACGTGGGGCTGAGGCTCCAGAGCCCATGCAACTTTCACAAGCACCACAGCCTCAGCAGCTCCCTTCCCCCAGTGTGCACACTTGTCCCCACCCATCTGACTCCCACAGAGGAACCACAAGTGTCACCTGGGCTAAGAGGCCAGTCCTGCATGCAGCCTCCCGAGTGAGCGAGGAAGCCCTTCCCTCCAGCTGGAGAGGCATTTCCTCAGGGATGGTGAGAGGCCAGGCCTCACTGAACTGACTCGGCCCGGGTGCTCTGGTGGCAGAGGGAGGTCTGCAGGTGCTTGGGGGATGGGGCGTGAGACTTGCTCTAGCTAACAGGTACCTTTAGAAATGTCCCCTCACCTAAGAAAGTAATACAACCACAGGTCTGTTATCAAGGAAAACAGCTCGGATATGGCCTCTCTAGCTCCCTGCTTCCAACAAAGGAAATCAAGGCTGACCGCACCCCTAGGGCTTTGAAAAGAAAAGAATGCCCAGAGTAGCAGTGACCCAGGATAAAAACGAGTGACTAAGCAAATGGAAAAATGCAGAGACAGACACAAGGAGGGACAGCAAAGCCAACCCCTCCAGGTGATGCAGGCTAACAGTCTGAGACCACCGAGCCAACCCAACGCTCTGCCACTGCCATGGAGCAGCCGAACGAGAGCTACTTTCTCACGAGGGGTAAGTGCCAGAGTTGCCTGGGAAAGTGGACAGACCGAAGCCAAAGTGCACTCCAGTTTAAACCAAACGGAGAAAACCTACATTTACAAAAATACTTCTGGACAAGTGACAACTGTTAACTTAAAAAAAACCTTCTCAATAGGTGGCCTAAAATGCAATTTCCCCTCCAATGTGTAAGAAGAGCCCTTGCCCTACAATAACAGCTAGATGGGCCATACAGATACGTGTCTGAATTGCAGGAGCATGACGCGGGCAGAGGCTGACCTCTCTCACCCACCAAATGTCTGTCTTCTGTGCCAGAGGAAAAACCTGGGCCAGAAAGGAGCCAGAGGTCTGTGTTCCATGGGAAAGCGGCTGCTTGGTACGATACCTGAGATCTTCTGTTGTTCCTGAGAAAAGTCAATCCCTTCTCCAATAGAGCTCATGATTTTCTCAATCTGAAACGGAAGAGAGAGGAACAAAAAGGAGAGGCTGTCAGGCTTCAGTTAAACATTGCCGGCTCACTATCAGTGCACAGGGCAGCTGGTGTGTGTGGGAGTGCTCCAGGTCTCTTCCAGATGATTCCAAGGTCCAAGCGCCAACCTGCAAGGGATCAGAACTCTTTGCTGCTCATATCAAGAAAGGCCCTTCTGTGGCCACAGCCCAACAGGGACTAAAGACACGCTCCGAAAGGAGGGAGTGGGTAACAACCTGGGCTCAGCTGCTGGAAATGCCAAAAAGTCTTCCTTCCAAGGCATTTATATATCCCTCCTGCAGCACTTCCCCCAGCCCAGCAGGGACTGGACAACAGCAGGCCAGACCTGGCACATTTCACTGCTCACACCAGAATTTAAATTCCATGAGAGTAGAGACTTTGCCAGCTTGGTTCCATGTGACACCCCAAGTGCCTAGAGCAGTGCCTGGCAAGTCCTAAGCATTCAACAGATAATTGGTGCTGCCTGACTGCCAGCTCTGAGGTATGAGGACAATTTTTAGAACGGAGACAAGAAGAGAACCTCAACATAGGAACCTCTTAGAAGTCAAAGTGAGGCAGGCGTATAACTCTGATTAGAGGATCTTTTGATGCAGACATGTACCCTTCCTCTGGACCACAGCAGGGAGAGCTGGTCTCAAAGCATCTGATGTCTCCAGCATTGCCCCCTGTATGGACCACCTGTTCCAGCCATCTGGCTTTGGTCACCCTGAGCCAGAGCCAAGCCCCCCACTCCAGGAAACCTGGCCAGGGGCAAGACAGGGCAGCAAGGAGGCGGACACCTTCTCTTCCTCTCCTCCTCTTTTGGGATGCAGTGATAATGAGCTCATTCATGGCTCTTTTTCCAAAAAAGAATGTTACGAGAACCTTTTGTACCAGGGCTTGGATGCTTTTTCCTCTAAGTGCAAGTAAGGAGCCTAGGTCTGACAATCAAAAACAAAAACAAAAACAAAAACAAAAACAAAAAAAACCCCAAAACACAACTCTCCAGCCAGCTTCCAGCTGGCAGACAAAGACAGCACATTTGACAGCGGGCAGAAGAGCACAGAACAAACACCATCCTTCCCTTTGCAGCCGGGAGCTGTGGCTATTTTCCTCCAGCCACAGAAAACTGCCTTTTAACACACACTGTGAACTCCATCCCTGAGCTCAGCAAAAGCCAAGGGAAACACAACACATCTGACCTGTGGAGCAAATGGAGGTGTGCCTCCGCTCACCAGCCCCACAACCCAGAGGCAGGCACGGAAGCGGGCAGTGCCACCGCAGGTCTGCCCTGTCCCTTGAAGAAAATGTCTTCCTCCTTCCCTTCCTAATGCATCATTCTCTTTGGCCTCCGCATTATTTCAAGAACTGCCTCCTTCAACAGGCAGCCTGGTGCCGTGTGGGAAAGACCCACACGGACAGGCAAGCACTTTCACGCTTTCCCAGCTTCAGTGCTGACTCTACAAAAACAGGGATGGGTCTTGGGGCACCTGGATGGCTCAGTCGGTTGAGCGCCTGACGTCGGCTCAAGTCATGATCTCACGAGTTCGCGCCCCCCCCCCCCCCCCACCCCGTCAGGCTCTGTGCTGATAGCTCAGAACCTGGAGCCTGCTTCCGATTCTGTGTCTCCCTCTCTTCCTGCCCCTCCCCCACTCGTGCTGTCTCCGTCTCTGTCTCTCAAAAACATTAAAAAACAAACATTAAACATTAAACAAAAACAAACCAGGGATGGGTCCTGCCTCCTATGAAGGGTTGTCGTGTGGATTAAAAGTAGAGCTTACATAGAGCATCTAGCCAAAGGTCTGGCTCACAGAAGATGCCCGATAAAGGGTTCGTGTGCTTTCCACTTCCCCTCTTAGAGTTCCATTCAACCTAGTAAAAACCTAGTTAAAGTTGAAAAAAATTTTTTTACTTGTATTTTTTGACAAGTCATACATCCACATGATTCAAAGTTCAAAAGATACAAAGGTTATTCAGAGAAGTCTCCTTGTGCCTGTCTCCCAGCTGTCTGGCTCTCCTCCCCCGCAGGGAACCAGTGTAACCAGTTTCTCAAGTGTGCTTCTAGATCTGTTCCAGCCACATGTAAGCAAACATATGAAGGTATTCTACCCCCCACACTGACACAGGCAGTCTATATATGCTGCTCTGCATCTTGTTTTCTCTATTTAGTAATACATCTTAGAGTTCTTCCCACAGTTCATAAGAACATTTTTTTCTTTTTCTTTTTAACCGATATGTCACCTTATTTATTCAACCAGTCCCCTGGTGGTCACGTATGTAGTTTCCAATCTCTTCTCATTCTCAACAGTGCCATGAAGAACACTGTTCTACATACATGTTTGTACACATGGTTCCCTCTTGAGAGTTCTTCCAGGCACAAAATCTTGAATTAGCAGCAGGGACCCCACGGGTCGTGTAATGCCAACTCCCACCCCATGTCCGATTTTGCTAGGGGCCTTCCAGAGATGGGGCGTTAGGTGATTATGACGATCGCTGACTCTCCCGGTCAGTTCGCCCTATATGCAGAAAGTGCCAATTTATAACATCTGTCTTTTTACAGATTGAAATCTTTTTTCTTCCAACTTCAACCCACTGGTCTGGTTATTGCCCTAGAACACCTCTTCTTCCACAGGAAAGGCTTAGGGATATTTGGAGACAGGCCAAGCTGCTTCCCCACCCCCAGTCTGCACTAAATGACACATCAGTGCCCAGGTCCCAAAGCCTGGGCTGTCCAGATCATAGAAGCCTCCAAGCTGGGCAAAGAGCAGGCACTCCACGGATATCTGTTGAGGTGCTTTCCTTTTCCTTTTCTCTATTTACAGGAGAAAAGCAGGGTGCTCGAGATGAGAAAACTTTTCTCTGCATGGGGGGAATGAATGGGTCCTTATCCCTGGAATGGCTCCACCAGGCTATGGATCTCTCTTCCAGGCCAAAGAGGGTGTATGTGGGAGAATCACCACTGAAAAGTCCATGAGAGTTGGAATAAAGCATGTTTTACTTGCCATTTTGCCCCCTTGGGCTGGCTTGTGTTAAACAGGGAACCTACTGAATGAATGAAAGCCGGAGAGGGAGGGGTCCATTTCCTTAAGAGCTAGCAGAGAAAAAGCTGTTTTCCCAAGCCATGCAGAGTGTCATGGGCTTTTAATATAAAATCAAGTCATCTACGGTACCTATTTCATGATCATCATAATCACCTAACACCCAAAGCCACAGTTGACCTAGCCAATCAGCATCTCCTGGCTGCCCAATTCATTGGCCCTTTGCCAAAGGGCCTTTTGAAATCCGAGTGAACAGAGTTGAACACCCTGCTGCTTCTTTGCTCTGTTCCTTCCTTCCTGCTGGCCCCAGGAGTCACCCTCACACCCACTACAAAGGGCCAGGAACAGCCCACATTTCCACAGCCCACCCTCTGGCAGGGTATGCAAGGACACTCTCACAACTATTTCAGTGAAACTGTACGTGTCGCTGTCCTGGGAACTGGAGTAGCTAAGTCACGCTGAGAAGATGCTAGTTTATAGAGGAACTAGGAGTACTCGGCAGTTTACTGACAGCTTACAACCCAGCACCCCTTCCTGCCTTGGCAGAAACACAGGGCTGGGAGGAACATGGCAATGAAAAGGCCCTGTTTGGGCAGAGACTGGCAGGTGTCCGCCCTGACACCATACGCACAGAGCTGTCTGGGGCTGTGATCTTCCCCAGGGGCTGGGGAAACAGGGAGGAGCCGGATCTCCTCTCTCCCTGCCACACCCTCCATGGCCCAGAACCAGGAGAGGGAGAACATGGTCATTCCAGTCTAGACAAAGAGGAGCTGACCGAGAAAACAGACACCATTCTGATCTATCTACTTTGTGTAGTTTAACCATTTAGGCTTGAGTTAAAAAAAAAAAAAAAATCTGACTAAGCTGTTTTCTCAGAAATGTTCTGCATCTCAGGGGACAAAGCAGGCAGGTGTAATGTCCTGGAAGGGCACAGTTCAATATTCTCTTTTCTATTGTTGAGGTTCAGTGACCTTTTGGGGGAGAGACGGACAATGGTCACGCTCTAATACTGCACTTCACATAAACTCTATAGGGAACTTATATTTGTGTTTGGTAAGGCCTGAGCATTATCGACATAATGGATACATGTACTTTAAAAATGCTTGGAAATATTCCATTTTCAAAATATACTCAAGGTTATTCTATTTAGACTCTCCCCTCCTGCCCCCACCAGGGATGTATAAAACATATTCTCCATATGGCTGAAAACAAAAATAACTCAAATGCTAGAGACACCGCTGCTCACATCTTCTGACATGTGCTTGTTTAGAACACAGGATTGTGTGGTGCTGGGTGGCTCAGCCGGTCGAGAGTCTGACTCTTGAGTTGGGCTCAGGTCACGATCTCACAGTCGTGAGATCAAGCCCCACGTCGGGCTCCATGCTGGGCACAGAGCTTGTTTCAGATTCTCTCCCTCTCCCTCTGCCCCTCCCCTGCTCTCTCTCAAAAACAAAAACAAACAAACAAAAAAGAACACAGGATCATGGGTGGTGATATTCCGTATACAGATAAACAGGTCTCTATTCCCTATCACTACATACACCCTGGCTTTGGGGAACAAGTCAGATTACAACGGGCTTTTCAACGTGTATCAGGAGTGAGGGGAGGGAGAAGACAGCTGTCGGAGACAGAAATACCTCTGTAGGAACAGGAAGTCCACCTGAGAAACCACAAGCCTGGATCCAAGGCCTGTGTGAAACCTCCCTTCCAGAAGGTGGTACAAGTTACAAGCAATGGCTATGTTCAGGGGCTCCCATTTGTAATCAAATACCAGGGGAGCAGTTATCAGTCTGGTCAACATGCCCATTAGGTGGGGTCTAACATAGAGGAAGGAGGGAAAGGGATCACCTGCTTCCTATTTTCTTTTGGTGCAAATGGGAACATGAAGGGAGACGTTTCTGCAATTCACCATTGACTGAATTTGGCTCTTGAGGTCAGACATTCC